CACACACACACACACACACACACACACACACACACACACACACACACCCCAAGCCTGGTTTTTAAACATTTACCAGCAAACCCCTGCTCCATAAACATTGCTTGAGCTCCTCGGGGGTACCATAGAAAGCTCAGGGACTAAAGTCATCACCATATTGGAGCTAAGAGTGGCAGCAGCGGCAACAGCCACCACCACCACACCGGCATTTCCAGGTCACTTTAAGACTGACGAGATGCTTTTTTCTGACTGCCTGACAGCCCTGGTACAGGCCTTCCTTCTGACGGCCAATCAAAGGCCTTTGCTCATCCAGGTCACCAGATCCACACATGAGGTGCCGGCTCCAGGCTGGGCACTGCCCTGGAAGCAGCTGGAGCAGCTGGGAAGGCCTTCGATGCCTTTTGGGCAAAAGCCTGCATCCTCCTGGACCACCCCATCTCTTTCTGCTTGTGGTGGGTTCTTCCCTTCTTGGTCCCCTGCCATGCCTCTTCCTTTGTGAGGCTTAGAGAAAGATTGCCCTGTCTGCTCCCCATAGAGACGCAGGCTCCTCTTTTTAGCTCAGGGGCAGGTTGGCCTAGCTCCAAGGAGTATTTGCTCTGCTCTTTTTAGGAGGTTTATTCATAGATTGTTAATAAAGCCTTGAGCCACACCAGACCCATCTCCAGGGACCTGGGTGGATCCCCAACTTTCATTCTCTTTGTTCTCAGATACACAGATTCCAGAAAACAACTGAGATAGTTTAACCTGGTCCAGAAGAAGCAAGAAAGCAAACTTCAAGGGAGAGGCCACGCATGGGAGGATGCAATGCCTGCCACTTTCCAGAGGGGGAATGAGTGTCCCGGTGGTGTCGTAGGGTCGACATGGTTCACTCTTTACCATCCAGACTCTTCCCATGAGAGGAGCAGATGACAGCCATGCAGTGCTCTGGACAGTGCCCATCACTGCTGCCGCTCTGGGCACTGAACCCCATTTCCCAGGGACCTAGGCAGCTGGTCCCCAAGGACAGCCTCCAGTCATAGAGATAGAGCAAAAACAACACTGCCCTTGCCTCAGGGAGATGACGGTCTAGTGGGACAATTCAACATGTGGAGAACTGAATGCCAAATTCCTACAAAGTAAATTCTCTTCTAAATTGGTATTTTTAAAATATATCACTTACATTTCCCAATGCACCCCTCCTCCCTTACAAAGTAATTTCAGGCAGGAGGGACCGCTAAGGAGAGGTGGCCTAGGGGACACTGGCCGTCCAGGCATCACTGGGCTTTCCTATGCTCTGAAGAAGGAGAAGTTAGTCTAGTGGATGCTGGCCACCCCCGCTTGAAGACTCAGGTTAAGGATGTTCCGGATGGCCTCTCAGGGAGGGAGCCTCTCTGTGAGTGAGGCTGAGAGGCCTCCAGTGTGGCAGGGCAAGCCTCTCCAGCCTGTCCCCCTTGGTCTGACTCCCACTGTGCAGATTGGAATGAGGCCTCTCTTCACACTGCATGTTGGGGCGCACACCACGGGCCAAGTGGGGATGCTCAGCGCCACATGCGTGCTTCCAACGGCAGTCCTCCTCACCTCCATCAGAGCAAGGAGTGATCACCTCAGACTTGCTCTTCTAATACCTGATACAGGGATCAAAGCATGAGCATCCTATTACTAACAGTGATGTGGACCGCATGGCATGAAATTCCCCTCACCCGAAAGGAGGAATTTGCATTTTATCTGAAAGGGTGTCACTCTGGCTCTTCTGAAGCATCTGGGTAACACCACGATCCACAGAGACAGGTGCACTGCACCTAGCAGCAGGAGCCCCTGAGTTCAGATCTCGCCTCAGACCCTGCCCAAGTCATTTCACCTGCCTGTCTCAGTTTCCTCAACTGTAAAATGGGGGCAAATCGCAGCACCTACCTCCCAGGTTGTCGTGAGGATCAAATGAGATAATATTTATGAAGTGCTTAGCACCTTCCTCTCTTCCTTCCTTCTGTAGAAGAGTCACCTGTGCTTAGAAATACCCTTGGTAGCTGTGTGGAGGACGCCTCAGAGGTAGAGAGACTGCAGGCAGAGAGCAGGGGCAGAAGCTCTTGCCACAGTCCAGGCAAGAGAGGATACCTCACTTCACTCCAGGCTGGTCCTGGCTGAGTGCTGCCTCAGAGACTTAGACTCACTGATCCCAGGGAGGGGATCCCAAGAATTCCTGGGATTCTAGTCTCGATCCTCTCAAACACCTACAGCAGACACATCACATGTGAGTGGAGAAGGCCGGCGGTGGCCCCTCTCCCTGCTCCCCGGCACGCTGCCAAGTTCTCACCCCTGGCCTCAGGATCCGAGGTACCCTCAGCCCTGTCATCTCTTCTTGGGGTCACTGGCATGTGAAGGCATCACGTGCTGGTAACTGTGAGAAAGCTAATGCCAGTGGGATGTTTCTGAGATCACAGACATGGAGATCAGCTGAGGCCACAGGCATGCAAGGTCTGAGACAGCCCCTTTGGAAGACCTTCCGAAGGGCAGAGCCTACCTCCCCCTGCCCTGGCACCTTGCCCCAGCTCCACAGACGGAGCAGTAGTCACTCCGTCCCCGCCCTGTTAAACGCCTTCCGTGCTTAAGATGGTTGTGGCCCCAGCAGGCTCCCAGGCCCCCAGAGTCCAGATCCCAGATCCCAGGGTCACCTTCTTCCTTGCCCTTGCCCCTACACCCAGCCCGATGCCGGGCCTGATCAGTTCTGCTTCCACGCATCCCTTCATTTCCCTCCCTGCTGATGGTGACACCATCTAGACCGCAGTAACAGCTGCTGGTCGGTCTTCCAGCCTCCATTCCATGCCCCGTGCCCCCCGCTTCCCCAAATCCCCACACACTCTCCTAAAAAGAGAACAGCAGGCCAAGTTTGAGGCGACTGCTTCCTGCTCAAAACCTTCTAAGATTCCCCATGGCCAGGGGTGAGGTACTCCCAGCCCCTGGCCCAGAGCTTCATCGAATTGAAGTCCACATTGGGGATCTCAGCGTTCAAGACCCTCCATCACGTCACTCTGATCTAAATTCCTAGCCATAGCTCACCCTTTGCCCCTTGACTTTCCCTCTTGTTGGCTCTCAAACTGGACCCCTATACTGGTCCCTGAACTGGCCCAGAGTTTGGTTCCCATCATGCCTGATGTCTTTGCTGTGTTCCAGCTCCAGAATTCACTAGGAAAAGCCCCCAAGGGGGGCCATGTGGAGGTGTGGTTTTAGGCCTGCTACGCCACTGTTAACGAGAGGTCAGGGGTAACTGAGAGCTGTCCACTCTGCCACCAGTCAATGTCATGTTTGACAAGATAGATGTAGGGAGTATCCATATGCCTTAGGTCTAGAATACAGATGTAGATAATAAGGTAGGGCAGTAGTACAGATAGTCCAGTGGGTAAGAATATCTTTATGACCCAGTGCAAAGCCAGTTCAAACTAAGAATTCCTTCACGTGCTGTTTGTAACTGCACCAGGGAGAGAGATAAAGGTCCTGCTGGGGCCCACTCATGAGTAATGGCTAGGCACAGTGTCCTTGGGCTGGGGAGAAACTGCCAGAGACAGTGTTTCTGAGGCTAGGGAGAAATTGGGGTCCAAGCACAAGCACCCAAGCACCCCATCAAGACCACTTTTTTTTTTTTAATTGGGGAATGGCTTTTGGTCTTCTGTATGTTAACTGTCTATACAGGGAGTGCTGGAGGCAGCTCCAAAAGCTCATGAGAACAGACCATTGCATGTTCATTGGGAAGAAATTAAATGGATTCTATATCATTTAATCATGGAGTCTATTCTGTAATTGATCCTAGCCTGTATTACTGACCCATTTTGTATGATCACTTAAAAGGAAAGTTGTAATCACTCCTCCTCTTAGCCCCTGACACATCTATTTTTTTGTCATTAAGACCCAACAAGCTTAACCTGGTGCCATCCCCTGAAAGCTATGTCCTCTGTCCTTACCTGTCCTTGGGCATTTAGGGGAGATTTGATCTCCTCCACAAGGACAAGTCTGGTGGTACTGATCTCCTAGCAAAGATTACAAGATGCAGTTGGGTCCCTTAAAACAATTAACATTCCTTAATTGCCAGAGCAGGGTTGTGATTAGCTTCACCTTAATGCCAGCCCACTTTTCCGAGTATAGCCAATTGTAATATTCCATGACTACCAAGACCCCCTTCTTTCTTGTGGGTCAATAAAGAGGATCCCCACCTTCTCACTGGGGTCGCTGACCTAACACAGGTGACAAGTCTGACCCACTTTGTTAACAGTTACATGTGACACTGTTAATAAACTGATTTGGCTTGGAGTTGTACCTCAGTTTACCTTTACTGAATTTAGTTCCAACAAGGGTGAGCATTAACACTTTTAAAAATTGGCAAATGCTACAAATCAGGGCTTAATTTATTGCCTTTTGGATTGTCTAGACTTAAAATGATGGAGAAAATCTTAATAATGCAGATTAAGCTTTAAAGTATGTCACATGTCCTTTTTCCTCTCTGGAGTGCCAATTGTTAAACACTTACCAGCACAGACACACCCAATCCTTACTGAAGGAATTTGATACAAAGATATTTCCCCCCATCCCACCACTTCCCTTTTTGTCCTATGTATATTAATGTTGTCAGTGCAGAAGCTTTTCAGCGTCACGTAATCAAAGTTACCCATTTTATCTCTTGCATCTCCTGGGTCCCTTGTTTGGTTAAGAGTGAATCTCCTCCTCCAGGCTGTGAGAGGTATGGGATCTATCTGTCTTCCGATTCATTCAACAGTCTGCTTGTTAACACTGAGATCACAGGTCCATTCAGAATCCATCAAGGAACCTGGTGTGAGGCATGTTCGTCTGAGCCCATTTTCTGCCAGATTGTTTATCAGCTTCAGAGCCCTTCATGACCCTGTCTCCTTCTTGCTTCCCAGGGTTCTTTTGCCTCACTCCCTGGACCTTGACCTCCCAGCCATGTCCCTCTCTCTGGCTGTCCCCCAGGCCTGGAACTCTCTCCCCTCTCATCTCTGACCGCTGGCTTCTCAAGAAGCCTTCCCAAACCTCTACGCGTCCACCTTGCTTTGTATGTCTGTGTTTGCAAGTTGTCCCCTCCCCGCATTGGATTGTGAGCTCCTAAAGGGCAAGGACCCTTTGTACCCCTGTTGAGGTTTACAGGTTAAGGGGTGCTAGAACCCCAAAATCATGACACGTGAGTCCTGACTGAAAGAATTTGACCTAAGCCTTCTTTCAGCCAAAGACAAGGTTTATTCAAGATCTGCCATATTAGCCAGACTCTTAAGGAATCTGAGCATCTGTGAGCTATTGGCTAGATTGTAAGGATCTGAACACTTTGATGGAGCCAAGACGGCCCTTATGTACAGAAAGACTGTGGGAGGAATCTAGGAGTGGCCAACTAGTCTGGGTGGGGGATGGGGACTGTGAGGTAATACAAAGCCAGGCACCTGGACCACTGGCCAAGGGGGAATGGAGCCCAGCTAGGATTAAGGGTGGGACGTGGCCATAGGGAGGTAAAACAATGGGGGGCTAGGCTAGGTTTCGGGGTAACCAAGAATTGGGAGATCGGCCATAGCCACAATGAAAGGCCCGTTGATGGGATTAGAGCCTCAAGGAAATGCCAGAGATTTGGCCATGTGGGAAAGTCCAGGGTTTTTCCTTTTTGGGGTCTAGATCCCATCCTCATCATCCCCAGCGCTTGTAGGCACTTCATGAACGTTCATTGAATGGATTGAAAACTGGGACTTTTTTCCCAAGTGACTTGTGTTTTCCGGAACACTTCCCTAAAAGAAAAAACCAGTCAGCTGGGATCCTTCTTCCAGTTTCTGACTAGGAGGGGGGGTAGGGAGGAGTGGGGGGAGGGGAGGAGGGTAGTGCCTGGGCACAGGTGTGGGGAATCATTTGACTCAGCCCAGAAGGGGGAGGATGGGGGGCTCCATCAGTTTCCTCTGGGGCATCAATGTCAAGTCTCCTGCTCCTGGGTTTGAGGTCTCCCAGCTTCTGCTGGGGGACCTTCTGGAGGCTGCCTGGGGACAGGGTGACCAAGGGGGCTGCTGCGAGGCCCAGTTGGAGGCTTATGTTCTGTTCGGGGCGGGGTGGGGGGCCTTGGTAGAGGACTGTTGGGCCTTGTCCCTGAGGGCCACACAGATGGGGAGGGTCCCTCTGACGGGGATGGGATCTGGATCCTCGACTTTCCCGCGTGGCCTGGAGCACCACGTGGCCCATGTCCTTCTGTTACCTCCCGGTCACCCCAGACCACTTGGCCACTCCTAGATCACCTCCAGATCTCCCCCGAGGCTTTCCTCTGGCCGGCTTGTCAACGCAAGAATCACAAATGCTCAGATTCTTAAAATCTCGTCTGCCCCAGCCGGGGCTTTAATAAACCTCGTCTCTGGCTGAAAGAAGGCTTGGGTGGAATTCTAGGCAGGACCTGCTTTTGTCCTTGAATTTTGGGGTTCCCAGCACCCTTAGACCTCAACACGGTCATGGCCTGGCCAGTGGGGCGGGACTCCCCAGATCCTCCTTCACCTGGGGCTTGCCTCTTTTGGGGGGAGGGTTCCCCCTCTCCTGGAGTCGGGAAGACCTGGGTTCCAATCGAACCCCAGACCCTTCCTAGTTTCTTCCGCTGAAAAAGAGGATGGGCTGTTTTGGGGGAATCAGAGAACATCTGGGGAGCTCTAGGTAAACAGTTGGCGCTTAATAAGGGCTGACTCCCTCTTGTCAGGTGGCGGGGCTGGTTCTGTAAGCCTCCTCGGCTTCTTTGGGCCTCAGGTTCCTCAGCTGTAGTTGGGGAGGGGAGGGGCGGGGAGGGGAGGGGAGGGGAGGGGCAGGGGAGCGGGTCCTACTGGCTCACGAACTCCCGCTCCAAGCCTCGGAGTCAGAGAGCAAGACGAGGCCCAGCGGGTCTGGGAGGGGAGGGTGGAAGCACCGCCTCTAGGGGGCGTGTCCCGGAGGGCCTGGTGTGCGCGTGCGCGGGTCTGGGGCGGAGCCCCGCCGTTCCGGGGCGGGGCGGGGCGGGACCCTCCGGCGCAATGGAGCGTCGTCTTCAGAGGGCGGGGCGATCTGCACGCCTGCGCGGGCCTCGGGGGCGGGGACGCCGCGCTGACGTCACGGGCCGTGACGGCGCAGTCGCGTGTCTCGCGCCAGGCCGGGGCGCCCCTTTTGAGTGCTTGGGCCCTCGGGCCGTCTGCCGGTGCGCCCGGAAGCGGAAGCGGAGCCGGAAGCGGAACCGCGCCGCGGCCGTGCTCGCCTCCGGGCCGTCATGGAGGCCCCCGAGGACGGCGGCGGGAGCGGGGAGGCGGGGGGCCCGAGCTTGTCGGAGCTGTGCGCGCAGCTGCTGCGGACGCGGGACGCGGGCGGCCGGCTCCTGGCGGGCCACGAGCTGCTGCGGCGGCTGCGGACGCCGGGAGCGGGCGCGGGGGCCGCGGGACCGGAGCCGGAGCCGGACGAGGCCGCGCTGAGCCGGGTCGTGGACGAGCTCACCGCCTGGCTGCCGGCCAGCCACAGCAAGGTGGGGGAGGGGAGGGCGAGGACCGTTGAGGAGGGACGCCTACTCCCCATTTTGCAGTTGGGGACACTGAGGCAGTCGGGCGCACGCCTCGCCCGGGGCGGGTCTCGAGGAGGGGCCCGGAGACCCCCCCCGCCCCCCAGGCCCCGGTCCGTCGGAGCAGCTGGTCCCCAAGCCCCTTCGGGCCCTGCCCCTCCTCGTGCGCGGTCTGGGGTCGGAGGGACACGTGTGCCGCGCACACAGTGGGTCCGCAGAGGGCTCCCCCGGACGCCCCCCCCACCTCTGGACATCCCTGGAGCGCCCCCTTAGCGCCAGAGCACCCCTCCCCGACAGGCCCTGTGGGCTCAGCCTAGTGGCCTGAGTTCCAGTCCGGCTTCAGACACTACCCAGCCGGGAGGGAGGCGCTGAACGCTCCTCTTCCGCCTGCCTCAGTTTCCTCCTCTGTCCGCGGAGACTAGCAGGCGCGGCTGCCTGGTGGCTTGTCCGAGAATGGGGCGATCATAACGGGGCGGCCCTGGGCTCCTTCCCCTTCCCCTTCCCCTTCCCCAGTGCCCCGGAGCCCTCCGCGGGACCGATGACCGGGCGCAGGCTCTCTCTGGAAGAAGGGCGCCCGGCCTGCCCTGCGTGTCCTCCGGGCCAGCTCTACGGAAGCTGGGAAGCTGGCCCGGCTTGTCGGGAGGGGGTCCTGGGCGTTGGAGGAGGAGGAGGGTCTCATTGGGACCGCTCCGTGGGGCCGCCGCCTGGATCAGGTGGAGGGCCTTCCTGACCAAGCCGCTCCAGGCGCTTCGTGTCCCCACCCCTCTTTAGCTTCACACCGCTGCGCTGCTCTGCTGACCTGGCCCCTCTGGGTGACTGTGGATGCCTTGCTCTGCCTCATGGATCAGGTCCAGTGGGTGACCAGGGCCTGTGGATACTTGGAAGTCTTCGGCCCTGTGATGCCTTCCGTGTAGGCCTTGCTAGGTCTGCCCACCTGGACGGGGAGGGGGCTTCACCTCACTGCCTGACCTGAGGCCCTTTCTGGTGCAGGCTGTATCATCTAGGGAGCTGGGTGGCCCAGTGGGTGGCAGAAAGATCTGAGTTTGAGTCCAGCCTCAGACACTTTCTACTAGTCACTTCTCCTCTGGTCTGACTCAGTTTCCTCATCTGACCATGGAGATCACAACCCTACCTCCTTGGCGGGACTGTTGTGAGGGTCAGATGAGATCATGACTGTAAAATGCTTAGCCCAGGGAGTGGCACATAGTAGGGGCTATAGAAAGGCAAGCTCTCAGTATGTGCCATCTCTGTGCCTTTGCATTTCCAGCCCCCTCCTCAGCTCCAGGGCCGCCTTGAGACCTTTGCACATTCTTTACCCACTCATGTTCTCCCACCTTCCCCCAAGGAGTGACTTTGCTTTTCTTTGCGTGTTTCTCATGTTGATGTAAATGCCTCCTCTGCTCAGTAGAACTTAAGGCACAGAAACCTTTCTCCTGAACGCAGGGGAAGCCCCTGCTCTGTCTGCAGTGGCTCCTCCCCCTCTCTCTCTTAGGGCTGCCAGAACCAGGTGAAAGCATCGTGGGGAAATATGGCAGCAAACAAATCAGAATGCAGTAGATCAAAGATGGGGTGGAGAAGAGGTTTCCCACGTTGCTCTGCAGTGGGGGGATTCTTATGGCGTCTCAGGGCCTCGGTGGTGGCTCTAGTTCTGTTAGAGCCTAACCCTCTCTGACTCCGGTCACAGAATCTGAGGGCTGGTCACACTCGAATGAGTGTGCTTACCAGCAGTTGTGTTGTTATTTTTAAAAGAGCCTTTAGCAAAACGGACCAAAGGAAGAAGGCTTCAGATGCAGACGTAGCCAGCGCAAGAACAAAAAAGAAGCTTGTTACCACATTAGGACAAAAACGTGATGTGATTGAACAGCATGAACGTGATCATCATAACTAAAAGGAATTTTATGGTTCCTATTACAGAAGTCCACGTCACTGTTGGAATGCCTGATGGGTGATGTGGAACATGGACAGAGAGGCAAGAGGAATCCGAAAGAAAGGCTACGTCTCATCAGCCTGGTGGCCACGAGAAGGAGGAGGTGTGTCGCAGGGACAGCACGGGCGGGTATCTTAGCTCTGGCAATCCAGAACCGCCATCACACGCACAGCCCTTCAGATCAAAGCTCCAGTTCACATCAGACACTGAAAGGAAAGGGCATGAGGTGACGGTGAAGACACTTTTACCGCAAGTGTTGGTTGCTTCTGTTCCTTTAAAAAGCAGAATCAGCTGGAGGCATGGAGAGACAGCCGCTGCCGTGTGGAAGCATATCTTACTGGGCAGGTTTTTCCTTGGAAAAGTAGACTGTGATAGGAGAAATAACAAACCTGGGAAGAAAGCTTGGCTTGGGACAGCTAGAAAATGGCGGCCTGGGAGTGATTCCTACTCAAGAGAATGCCCTGGTGTTGATCTCCATTATTTAGATCAACAGCAAGTTCTGGAAAGATGGAAAGGTTTGCAGACAGAGACGTTCTCCCTCTGGGAACAATCTGAAGCTAGCTTCCTAATGGGAGGAGTGGTGAGGCCAAGTATTGTGGATGGCGACCCTGATGTCAGTGAGAGTGCGCCAGTCCTCCAGGCGTGGGTCAAGCTCTCTGCATCTACCAGCATCTGCATGAAGACTTAAAAAAAGGGAAGGCAGTTCAGTCTGGGCTGCTAACGTGCTTTAAACAAAAATAATGACATTTTCATCACATTGGTGTAGGCTTATCTTGGGGTACAGTGTTTGGCAACTTAAGATAATTTTTAAACTTTAAAAATTTTGCTTTCTGTAACTGCTTTATTACTTTGTAACAAATTTGAACAGAAATAATTTTCTTATCCTTTGCTATTATATTACATTAATAAACAAAACATTGTTAAAATTTTCATTGCATTTTTCTACTGGACTAGAACAAATGATCATAATTTTATGTAGAATCATAACTTTGAATAGTGTAGAATCGAGGAAAGGTCTTCCTTGTGCCAGCTGCCTTCTCCTTTGGCTCCCAGGCCCCTTTTCCCTCGAGTTTTTCCCAGAGCCTCCATTTGGAGAAGGGCCCAGACCAGCCACCCCTGATTCTCTGGACTATGCCACCATGCTGTGCACATTCTTCCTTCAGCTCCCCATTGATGTGCTCTGTCCCTCCACTAGAATATAAGCTCCCTGAGAGCAGGCTTGAATTTGCTTGTATTTGTGTCCCCATCACTTAGCATGGTGCCTAGCACAGAGTAAGTACTTGATAAATGCTTGGTGACTGACTAACTATGCTGTTTGTGTTGGGGGCCTTGCCCTAAATCCTTTGGCATTGCCTGGACCTGAGTGAAGCCTGCAGATTGTCCATGGATGGACCCTCCCTCCAGTTGCGTCTTTGGCATGTCTGTTGTGATCAGACTGTCCCCTTCTTTGTACTCTTGTAACCAACTCCTGGGCATCCTGGGCCTCACCATTGCCCCTTGGCATGTGATCCAGGACTCCCAGTGCAGTGTTAGCAGAAGGATGTGGATGTTAAGAGAATGGGTTTCTTTGTTTCTGGAAGGTGAGAAGGCTAGTTACAACTCTGGACAACTTCCTGTTTCGTCCTCTCAGCTCTGAGCCCATCCCTTTTCTGCCTCCTGTGCCTCAGAGGGATCTGAGGCTGTCCCACTGGCCATGGGTCTGGAGGTGTGCTCAGAGTCTCCCAGTTCAGTGCACCCTGCCAGGACTCTTAGAGAAGGCAAGGTCAGCCCGCACCCTGAGTAGGCAATGGTAGGGATGAGAGCCCTTCCTTGCAGCAGGTGTGGTCATAGATGGGAGAACCCCGAGGGAGCTCGGCCATCTACTGCCCAAGTCTCCTGTGAGGAAGGGAGCACAAACTGCCCGCTGTTGGGAGTTCAGAGGGTCACCAAGGTGAATGGAGGCAGGAGCCCTGGGGGAGTGTTGGGGAAAAGCACTGGTCCCACTGGCGGGTGGCTGGGCCAGCTGCTGACCCTCCCTCCAGTGGGAGCTCCCCTAGAACATGGATCCTGGACTGACTGCACGGGCGAGTTCTTGATCTTTTTTTGGCATTTTTCTCTTTAGCTCCAACCAAAAAATGCAGCATTATTTACTATAATGAGGGGAGGGGAACAAGCATTGATTAAGCACCAACCTTGTGCCGTGCCAAGTGCTGTACAAACACCTCATTTGACCCAATAATAAATGAGCAAATGTGCCTTCTGTCTTATAGGAGAGGATTCTTACTTTTCTGCGGCAGTTGGTGGTTGCTATACAATGCTAGAGCCTTGGATCTAGTGGTAGGAAGACCTCAGTTCAAATCCAGCCCCTGATACTTAACTAGCTCTGTGACCCTTAACCTCTCACTGCCTCAGTTTCCTCCCTTGTGAAATGGGGATAATGAAGTACCCACCTCCCTTGGTGGTTGTGAGGACCTAGGCAGTTAACATACGTGATAGGTCACTGTATAAATGCTACCTGCCATTATTATCCGTGTTGGGTTGGAGGAGAGGGAGCCTGGGGGCAGGGTGCAGGTGTGGGATCCAGTGGGAGGGAGGGATGGGTGGGAGGTGTGTGGTTTGCCCCCTGCGGGCTTGTTTTTGGTTTGAGTTGGTGACAAGTTTTGGTTTGTCAGCTCTGAAGAGGACACTGATCTTGAGTTGGCCTCAGCAGTCCTCCTTGTGTTTTCAGTGATTGTGACTTGAGCATTTTTGTGGATTTAATGTCTTTTTTCCCAAGGCCTTCCTTTTGTTCCTAACGAGTTGCCACGGCTAGGAGTTAAGGTTTTGAATTTGTTCACTTTTGAGGACTGTGATCATGAGTGGGTCCTCTTGGCATTACCTCAAAGAGCAGACTCTTGCTGCCTCGTTCTGGATGATTCTTGGCCGGGCTTTTCTTTAAATTTTGTTGCTGAAAGTTCATTTCGTGTGTCCCAGTATGTGTCGGTTCTGTGTCAGCTTGGATGGGTACCTCCACCTCTGTGCTCCGGGCAGCTCTCCAAGGTTCCACATCAGCGAGGAAGAG